TATATACCTCCCTTTCAATTAAAAAGACTATAAATTAACTGTTAGAAAATGTACACATTTTGCTAATACCTAAATCACATATACCAAATCCGCACTCATACAGACGTACATATACAATTTCTAGATCCTTTTTTACATACAAAAGAAATATTATTAAGTATGAAACATATACAATACAATAAATAATTTTGAAGAATCACAGTCACATGTATAATAAAGATAGAAATTAAATAAAATTTGTCTCTTAAACATATATAAAACAATAATAAAATTGATAGAAAGAATATTGAAAAAATACTGTTCTATAATATTATTTTAATTATTATTTGTACTTACATATAATTGTCGTCGTTTATTTATTTCTACTAAATGAAGAAAAATTGTTAATCATGGCAAAAGAATTTTGACAAATGCAGTTTTATAATCGTATCTGTTAATTATTGTCGCTGTTCATCTTTTAACGATGTATAGGCTATACACTTAATTAAACNATGTTTAAGTATGCATTAACACGTAACGAAGATTTTTAAGTATATCTATCTACAGCTTGTGGCTGTAAATATTTCCCCTATCAATGGCAGACTGTAAAAAATTGTTCCATTTTTTATGTTACGAACGCCCGGTCTATTGTTCTATAAATTGCACAGTGCTATCTACAATTTTCTGTACAGATATACAAATGCATAAAATCTGCAGTCTAACTATTAATTAACTGTTACAAAATTCTTGTAATTGATATATGATGATGAATATATGTGTGTGCGTTTAGGTATTACACATAAATCCTCAAACGGGCAAGCTGTTGCGGTACGTTAAGATAAACGGAGCTAAGAACATAACGAGCGTTGCCTTCGGTGGACCGAACTTCGACGTTTTGTACGTAACATCCGCAAATGTAGATTTAACAGAGGACGAGTTGAAGGAACAACCGTACGCTGGTTACTTGTTCGCTATAAAGGGTTTAGGTGTCCGCGGTTATCCTCCCAATTCCTGCAAACTGCCGGACAAATTAACGTAGTTTGCGCGCGGATAAAGCGAGTACGTATAGGTACATATGTATGTATGAATTTATGAAAATGTACAAATTACTTATCTATGAAAGTTTCATTTTTAACGATGCAAATAAATAAAATTAGATCCTTACGTCGTGTCTTTTGTATAGTTATATTATACAT